GGTGCTGCCTGGGGTGGCTCCTGGCAGCTCACCGCGCCGCAGGGCTTGGAGGAGGTGTACGAGTGTTTATCTTGGTGCTGAACATCAGTTTCCTGGCAAACCCAACAGATTCGAGCAGAACTAACAGCCCCAAAATACATATCTCTCTCTGTAATCGTAAAATTGTCATAGTAAAACTTCTGTGTTCACTTTAAGGCATGTTTATAACTTATTTTATTAAGTGTAACTTTAAGAAGCTGCTTTGGTGCTTTTTATTCCTGGAGGCACCTATCCTGCAGGCAGCTGCCTCAGAGATGATGCCATCGACTTCAGTGTCCAACATTAAGCTGACACTGGCCTTTGCATGATTGGACTTCGCTGAATGAATATGAGGGGGAGATATTGAAGTTTGCATTAAGGGATTTAATTGGTGCATATGTGAATTATCTTTTAAGTAGGATGTGTTGTTTGTGAAATACAGCCAGGTTTCTGCAGAGATGTTTATGTATTTAACATCTTATTGACTTCTTCTAAGTCATGGGCAGGAGAAGGCTTTGTATGTGCAGAAATATTTTCCAGCGTATTGAGAGCAACTCACAGGAGTCATTTGAAAATTAAAATTTGATGCTTGACATCCGGAGGAGATGGAGTGTGTCTTATGCATGAGTGGTTTTGTCTTTCAGTTTCAGATTCTCTCAGATGTGTTGCTAAGAGATTAAAGTCAGTCGTATGTGCTTTTTATTTAGCTGAAAAGACTCAGCTAAATCTACTTTATTAAATGGAAAAAAAAAATAATCCCCTGGAGCTTTGTATATAAACTAGCCAGTCTGTGCAGAATTGCGGGAGCATCACCTAGTATCTAAGAACAGCCAGATAACTAGAGGACTAAAAATTGCATACTTTTCTTCTGTAAGAACCTGGATGTGCTTGGGCCTACTCTCTTTAAGTGTTTGTCATGGTTATTAAATAACCCATTGAGTGTTTGGCATTCTTCTGGAAGCCTGTTATCATGGGCAGCTAAAACCAGCTTGATGCCAGCCTCCTACAAACTGAGTCTGTGGGCAGAAGAGTTGGGGATTGAATGATTAAAATACCAAGTCAATAGAAGGAGTTGCTGCTTGTTTTCTTCAACAGTAAGCAAGCTGTTTAATGCTTCTGCAGAATGCTTCACAGATACTGAGCTTCATCATGCTAATCAGAAAAGTAGCTATCTTTTCTAAAAATCTTTTTTGGGGAAGTCTGCTTAAAACCCCCTACCTTAAGTGGTGTCAGGGTTGTTACACAAGAGCAAAATGGAAGATACCCTTGATTAAGGCCAGCTAATGTTATGACACAATGCTTAGCATATGTTTTCATTTCCCATTTACTTTTACTGGATTGTGGTCCTCATGATAACAGCATGCATCTCTCCTAACTTGTGCGGGAGAAGCAGTAAGCCGCTTGTCCTTTCTTTGGTGACAGTTCTAAAAGATCAGCCGGGTCCTCGTATGCCTCTTGTATCTTGTACAAATCAGTCTTTACGCTTGTGCCGACAGTATTAGTGTAGGATTGGTTTTTGCACTGGAGCTCACAATCATGCCAGAATTCAAACAGTTTTATGCTGTAAATAGTAAAAACATTCTGAAAATGCTGCATGGGATTGCCCAGCTCATACTGGTTTTAATTAGCACCTGTCTTTTTTTAATCTGTACTGTTACTTTCTGTCTAGGTTGAAGGCATGGTCTTGTTGGGGAGAGACAAACATACTGGTTGGAAACTCCCGGGTTTTTCCTTGAGTTGGCTTGAAAGATGGGAATGCCAGAGAGGGCTTTGTGACTCTGGCACTGCTAGGCTGAGGCTGTAACCCTTGCAGGTCTGTCCTCGGGGACTGAGGGACCCATCATCTGTGGTGCAGAAGGTTGTGCTGTCCTGCTTCAGCGGCCAGGCTGGTCCCTCACAGCAGCCTTGGCACTTAGCAGGAGAGGTGCTGTCAAATAACTTGCTATTGCTCTTGCTGTTTTATTTGTTTGAAGTGCTGCATGAATGGACAACAATGTTGTTCCAGGTTCTTGTTTTTCACATTTTCTCCAGGAATCTGGTTGTGATAGAAAGGAAAAGACTTTTAGCCTCAAAATGAGAAGTTTCTTGAAGAGTTCAGATTCCTGTTGTTATGCGAGTGTCCACATGACAGTTTTTCTTTGCAGCTTTTTTTAAAGTGTGTATATTGCTCTTGTGAGAAAAAGACTATGTTCTTACCCTGGATGTCCTTCAAAGTCTACATTAAGACTTGATAAGTCCTGAAAAATGCTAAGAAGGGACAGTGTTGGAGTCAGCAATGATTTTAAATTCTTACTTATCTTTTTGTCTGTTGAGGTTTCATGAGTCAGACTGGGCTGCTGAGACTTTCTTCTGAAGATGTACATGTTGGTTGAACACCGTACAAGTTCCTATCTTCATCTGAAGAGGTCACCTGGCATCCGATCTTGGTCTCTCTTTGTTGGTAAGACCATAATATTCCTCTGTTTATTGCAGAACTTGCTTTAAGGGAAAGGGAACACAGAATAAATTCCTGAAAGAGCCTCTAACAAGAGTTGCCTGTCTTTCAGGCATTTTTCTTTCAAGAAGAAGAATCATCAGGCTTTCAACTTCTCCTTTAGCATAGCCACTAAATGAGTCTGAAGTCTCCTCCTCAGTGTGGTACCTTCACTGTGAGACTGATAATTTTTCAATCTGTCATCTGCAGAACCTCAGAGGCTCATGGGCAGAATTTTAAAGGAGCCCTGAGTTTATGGTATGCCATGTAGCAGTATAAATGTGAAACTTCTGAAGGGGATACATAGTTACATTGAAAAACATCTAGGTTTTCAGAAACGGAAAAATCTGCGGTGAGGCGATGCTGGGGTTAGATCTTGCGTGTGGTTGACAGTGAGCCCGTAACGGCAGTGTGGGTATGAAATAGGAAGTTATACGCGATGTTCTGAAAGGCAACTGTTTTTAAACACCACTGAATATGCAGAAAAAAATAAATGGAGTGGTACTTCTTAGGACCACAGTGAGAGAGCTGGTGGGGAAAATGTGGCTCATCCTGCTTTCCAGCTCAGTAGATTCCATAGCAGTAACACTACAATGTTGTCATTTTCACTTCATCACTTTCAGTGATGTCATCTTGTCAAACTCCTTGAGACAAGATCTCTGCAGTTGCGCTCTGGGGCATGAGGCACTTTTCTACTGCTTCCTCCTCAGTGGGAGAAAGGAGCTGGCAGCTTCTGACACAATCTGATTGCAGAAGTTTTCTTTTGGCTCCACAGAGCACTTAGAGGGGAAAAATAACCACTGTAGTGCTTACGTTAGCATGCTCAAAGTTGTACTGCACTTGAGAGGAAGTATGGTGTAATGGTTAGTTTGAGAGTCCCCCTGAAGTTTTGTTCCTGATTCTGTCATGACTTTTTATTTCTGGCCTCAGCCCCTGTGCTCTTTGGTGTCTGTGCAGAATGGTTCAGAGAAAAATAACTAACTCTTTCATGTAATGATCAATGTTGCAATCACATTTGTGCCTTTTTTGAAAATAGATGAACTTGTGAATATTCGTATGTTTTTCATCAGAGAATTTTAGATGGTTTGAGCTGCTTGTTTGTCCTAATTCTCTCTGCTCTTACCCTAGGAATAGCCTCCATAGGTTTGGCTGCTGCTTATTATAGTGCAGGTAATGGCCTATCCCTCTTTTAAGAATTGTTTATTTCCTGTTGATTTGTTTTTCATGCTGATGACTCCTCTCTGCAGCTTCTGTCTGTCCTTACAAAGAAGGCAGTATAGGTAGCTATCCCACTTTGTGGTGTGAATATTAAAATCCAATAATAATTGTTGCCAGTGTATGACTTACTGTGCTTTAATGCTCTATTTCTTACTCAGCCTCCCTTTCCATTTGCAAGAGTATTTTTAATAAAGATATTTAGTACTTTGTGGCATTTTGTACTTTCAGTGTGTTTTATAAATGTGATTAGCTGGTCCTCACAGCTCTCCTGAGAAGACATACAATGGTTGTTTGCCACCATAATGAAATGATTACCTTGCCTTTGATGGAAGTACTCTCTTTCTCTGGAAACTGTTAACTCATCACTGTCAGAAATTACTCATAAAAACACCTTTAGAGAACAGCCAGCTACTGCTTTCTTTCCTCCCCCTGCAATCAAGCAGATGGCACCAAATGCCAGGTATCCTTCCATCTACGGAATTTATCCTGCAGCCTGTCCTCTTGCTGCATTATGTTAACATCAAAATTTAAAACTCTGTATATACTACCAATATAATCAATGTATTTTTATTTTAAGAGCAAAGTCCAGTTAAATGTGCTTGAGACTCCAGCTACATCAGCCTTTTTTTCTTAAAACATTGCAACAAAGTTTTCTGAAACAATACTGAGCACAGTTCTACTTTGCTTTCAGTAAAAGCCTGAGTAAGCAAATTGCTTAGGCTGCTATATGTAAACATTTCCAGGACATAAAATGCAAATGTTTGTTTGTCAAGAGGGCTGACTGCTTCCTTTTATGAAGAAACATGTTTGCTTCAGTGAATTTCCATTGTCCCTCACCCTTGTCCTCTGCAGCACAAATATTTGGTAGTTGAGAATTTTGTTGATGCCTTTTAAGATGCTTTTGCTTTTAGGGAAGAGAAAGATACGTAGTGATGTTACAACCTTGCCAATAATACATAACGCTTATAATTCTGCATGGTTTGGAGCCCAGTGTAGATGGAGTCTTTGAAAAATATGTGAAGAGTTTCTGTATTTTTATCCTGGGAGAGAGCTGTAAAATAGCTTGCATTATAATTAAAGGCAACAATGTTATATTGAAGAAACCTTTTTTCTTTTGTTGCCTTTAAAGGGAGCACGTTGCTTTTAAAACTAACTGTTTGAATGCCAAATAAGGAAAAAAAAACCCCTAAATTTGTGCTTTTTTTGCATTGTTCAGACAGCTTGGCATGGAAGCTCTTTTATATGGCCGGGTGTTTCTTTGTGGCAGCACAGAATCTGGAGCAGTGGGAGGTAAGATGCTGAACTCGGAAGTGAGGTTGTGCTAGTGTAGGCATGGTTGGCAGATGCTGATTTCAGCAGCCCTCTGCACTGGCTCAGTCCAAACAGACAAGTTATGCCTCTGGTTTTGAGGAAACCCCTCAGGGCTGCTAAACTAGCACTAGAATTAGGGCAATAATTCCTTCACTACACAAGCATGAAAATGTGAAGCTACACGTAAGTGTTTTTTAAGGGGAGATTTGCCCCAAACTGTTTTTGTGGCTTTCTCTCCTTCTTTTATAAAAGAGGGGAAAAGAACAGCGCATTCAGCTGCTACAACGTGATTTTGTACTTACTGTTCCAGCTAATGACAGAACAACCATTAAATAGGGTAGCTCCAACCTTCTGGGCTACTCTGCTGTTTTCCACTGGGAAAAGAGTGGTGTTTGAATTGGTTTATAATCTTATGGATGTTGATTTCCTGGGAGTTGGACTGAGAGGAATAACCCATTATGTAGGCTTGTCACCTTACTGACTGGAGTTGTTATTAGAATAAGCAACCCACACATATGAGATGTCCTCTTTTCATCGATTGAAAAATCATCTGATTTTTAAATCTAGTGTAAGCCTGGCCCATATAGCACAATGCTAAAATTTAGTGACTGTGGTAGTGAAAAGTGTAACGAGCACTTATGTTCACTGTCTGCCTACACTGTAGGCCAAATGCATGCACCAAAAGTGAAAATTATAGGAGTTCCAAGTAAGTGTTTGAACTTGATTCCAGGCAGAGTTTTTACTATACAAGGAGTGTGGCAAGAGGAGCAATGAAATGTGCTTTAACTTCTAGAAGTAACACAGGAGATACGGTGAAGTCTCTGTTAAAGCCAAGAGCAAGATTGTGATTATCGCAGTCTAATAATAGAGGAATGTCTCTAAAATAGCTATGTATTTTCCTGTGTTACCAAGATTATTTTCCCATATAACTAATTTTATTTGACTTTGAAGCATAGCTACTGATGGTGGTTTTAAGAAAACCTTGATTTGTATTTTTCAATTTTACAGGAAGCTGTATTTGATAAGAGCAGGGGAACAGTCTGCCTAAAAACATTCAGTCTTTACAAAAAACTACTGACCTTCTCAAAAGGAGGCAACGAACAAGGTGAGAAAGTATCTGTGGTAGCAAATGTGGTGGGCAGACAGGAGCGCATACATGCCATTTAATAAGCTTCTCTGGAGTTCTGGACTCAAATTAGTCACATCTATTTCCAGATCTGTTTTGTTCCCAAGCAGCACATGTAATAATTTGCTTCTTGGAACCCAAATGCTTTTTCAGGTTAGGGTGCTGAATGCATCTTGTTATTTTAACCCAAGTTAACTAGGTTTACACATTGCTTTCCATAATAGTCTTAGCCATTCCTTTGGGATGTTAACATGCAAGTTGTATTTCCCTTGGCTAGCCTGCTTTGCAGCTGGGACTGGTGAAAAACTTACACTTTGGATCCAGGACTTGAGATTTCTGTATTCTAATCTGGTTTCGGTAGCAGGCAAATCTTTAGATATATGGAAGCAGGCACATTATATCTTGCAGATACACAATATGCATTTAAACCAGCATATTCAGTAGGCTCAGCTTAATGTAGTGTCTCATTTCTTTGGAGCTTTCCTGTCAGAGTAACAGAAGTTGAAGTACAGTATGTGATGTGATTGAGTCCCTGTGAGACAGGAGCTCCATTGCAAACTAAAGTAGGGCACTCTTCAGTGTCAGACATTTTTATTCTACTTGCTAGTCTAAATCAAACCAACTCTGAATATGCTTAGAAAACTGACAAAACTTGGAATGTCCTTAAGTTGGATTGTTTTTTAAACAGTTGATTCTGGAGATGGAAGATAAGAGATGTGGAGAGGAGGATGTTTAGTGTTTCTGAACTTTTCTTTAGGGTATGTTTAGATAGATGTTGGGGAGCTAAGCACATCTCTTCCTGAGGGGTTATTTGGTAATATCTGTTTCAAGTACTGTTGATGTGGGGAAGCAGAGATCAGCATTTGCTCTGAACAGTTAAATCTTTGAGTATTTGTTCAACCTCAGTAAACTTAACACCTGTTTGCCTACTCTGTACAGAAAAATAGCCTTAAAGTGGGAAACATAAGTAATAAACTAATGGTCCCCAGTTCCTGGGAGGCAGTATATATCGTTCCTTAGGGCCTATACCAGCTAGTACATGCTGTAGTCTCTCCTTGTTTGTTTTGCCTGAATAGCTCAGCAGTTGTTTGCTACTGCAGGACTGCCCTGGTTGTATGGGATCAGAGCAGTAGTACTCAAGAGCGTGGAGTCCCAGTCACCAAGTAGCTAGTAGCAGTGCTGTAATTACTGTCATGCTAATAGACTACTCTGCTTTCCACATCTGTTTACAGTCGTGGCTCTACTGCATGAGATCCGAGATGTGAACGTGGAAGAGGAGACTGTGCGGTATTTTGGGAAGGGTTACCTGGTTGTGCTACGATTTGTCACTGGATTTTCACACCCTCTGACTCAGAGCGCAGTGTTGGGCTGTAGAAGGTACAGTGTGGACTTTTTTAATTAGAATGTGTAAGGTGGGAGATGCCAGTCACGTGGGTCAGGAATTGCCAACCATTGAGACTCCTTAGTTTTGTTTTCATACTTACTGATACGCCTTGTGGAATTTGGTTTAAGTTTTTTAAACCCTTTGAGGCTTTCAGCTGCAGACTTTTAGGTAATTGTTCCCATTAGGATACTCATCATATTTAGATATCTAAGATACCTTTAGTGCTGCATGACTGTTGCAGTCACCTTCACTAGTTCGGCTGTACAGTGACAGAGGGGATTAATTCTATTTTTGCAAACATTCAGTGTATTTATCAGTTCACAGAGGATTTGTTTTAAGCATCGATAAGAAGGAATCTTGCAGCAGGGACTGCGGGAAAAGGATTGATACGTTCTGATGTGGAAGCAATGGTTTGGCTTGATATGCCTTCACAAGTGGAGTGCTGTCAGTCATACTCTGCCATATGTTGGCTGGCCCTTCAAACCGTTATTCTCAAGAATAAGTGCCTCTTCTTGTCAACACCACAATTCCACTAACTCTTACATTGTTTCTTCCTTTCCACAGTGATGTGGAAGCAGTTGCCAAACTCATTACTAGTTTTCTGGAGCTGGACAGAGTAGAGAGCCAACAGGATCTCTCGCAGAGCAGTGAAACAGAGGCTAGTGATGCTGATGAACCACAGGATAAATATTAATAGTCATCATGAGCTGAAGAAAGCAAACGCTTTCAAACATCTGGAAAATATATTTGATCATCCGTCAGAAAAAGAAATCCCTCACAATCTTGACCCGAGCATTTCTCTACGTGTGCATTTACAATGGGAGGAGTCTGTCTTAGGGCACCTTTTTTAGTGCTAAACTGCTTCAAGATTCACATTCCCAGTATTGCTGTTGCAGAGTCCAAAGCAAATTTTCTTTTATTTGCTCCTTTGATTTAGTTTGTGCACATGGACATTGCTGGCTTTTGAACTTTGTCAGCTCATCAAACTTGTCTAGGAATAGTTGATCTCAAATGAATTCATTAATAAATATTTATTGCTTTCCCATTAATGAAGTGGAGATACAGATGTAAACTTCCATTTACTGCAAACATCTGCTGCAGGTACAGTATACGAAATGTAAGAGCTGAATTTGTAACTCATAACATGATGCTTTGAGGTTTTTCTTGAAGTGTTTTAAGTGACTGAATATATTGCTAAATTGGTTTTAAGCAGCTTAATATATGCAATTAGGAGACGCAGGATAGTGGCATTTTTATATTCTCTACTACTGACTTGCTGTTACATAGATACCAGTGGAAATTAACCTTTGAGTGACTGTCTTGGAGTTGGAAACAAGAGGCTGATCAACTTGTTATACTGTCTTGGACTTGCCAAGGAGCCATAAATAGTAAACAAAAAATGATCATGCTGATGGTTCAACATCTTTGGGATGTTCTAGCTTAATCCTGTTCTGCTTAACTTCTGGGTGTAGACTACCCCAAGATAGAATAACCTTTTCTAGACCTCAACACTTACTATTTTAACTGTGTGTTTAGAAAGGATGAAAAGCACATCTGTTACTTTAGATAGGGAGAAGACTGATGTCAAACAGCATGGCAACCTAGAATTGTTTTATATGTCCTCACTTGAAATGATACCGAAGTGCTAAATAGTAACTTAGTTTTTTTAAGGTAGCTGGAGTAGATCCAATGTTTGACTTGCACCCACGTTTTACTCCAGGTGTGTGTAGTGTCCTCTGTTCTGACCAATGGTTTCACAAATGGTTAAAATAGGAATTTTTGAAGATATTTTTTTGAAGTAAAAGCTACCTCTGTTAGTCAACATGTTCTGTCTAGAATTAAAATTTCCTCATGCCTACATCAAGAAGTCCGTACAAGAAAAAAGTTGTAAAGAGCTGAAAGTTCCGTCAACATGCTAAAACAGCTTGTATTAAAGTTCACTGGGCTTTATTTAAGAATTGTATGGCGGCGAGACCTGAATTAGAAAATATTTACACAGGTACTTCTAGGAGATCTGAACGGGGTACAGGGTAACTGTGTGGTCTGCTTTCATGTTTGGCTGGCAGTAAATGTCTTCTGGCAGCAGTTTCTTCAGGACTTAAAAGAATCTGCATTCTTCTTTCAAAGCACTCTACCTCTACAGAAGAGAATGCTGTGAAAAGATTTCAGCAGAAGCTATGTCCTGTTGTGTGTTCCAGCTAATCTGAAACTAAGCCCGTACTTATGTGACCAAAGAACAGGTTCTGTTAAGATTTTCCCTTCCAGCCATTTAGACCTAGGACTTGAGCTGTGAGACAAACGTGCTCTTCCAGTCAGTTTGAAAGGGTCATCAAACTAGCAGGGAGATAGCTGTTGGTCCAGCTTGACTGCAGCACAGAAGTGGGTCTGTTACTAGTCAATAAGAACAGAAACTTGTAATCCCATCAGGTATCAAAGCAGACCTCTGCCAATAGATGTGCTTGTGAAATCCTCTGATTTAGCGGGTTCATCTGTGGCTTTCAATCTCTACCTCACATTGCTGGAATTGGGAAGCTGCTATGTATGAATGTGGGAAATCAGGTTGCAGGCAATTAGCTAAATTTGGCCTTTATTCTGAAGCACAGCTGTAAGCTAAGAATAATCATCAAACCTGTTTTAAAAAAAAATAATTATTGCAGGATGTAACACTTTGGAGAGATGTTAATTTAAATGCACTCTATATACCCTAGGTAACATACCCAATCTCATTCTCCTCTCTCCAAAATTAATTTGGAGAACTTTTTATTCCCTACTGTGTGAAATGACTGTCAAGTGTTCTAAGGACTTCCAGTAAGAAATACTGAAAAAACTAGAGTATTTAATGCTGTAATGTAAGCAAAAGGGCTCAACCTGCAGATAACCACTGTTCTGTAGGCAGGATATTCAGCGGAAGTACCTGGTGCAGATGTGCACTGCATTTCTGTTCCGGGCCCACAGATCTCACTGTGGATGAAACGGGACAAAACTGCCTGCATTCAATCTATACTGAGTTTCTTTTGTATTTCCATGAGAGCTAACATTCCCTGTAAGATACAAACCACACTGGTTCTCCAGTTAAAAATCAGCTTTAGAACGGTACATCTCACGCTGCATCGTGTACCCTGCTTCTGCTGAGCTTTTTCGTGCATCTAGCTTGCTGTACATTCTTGATGTTAGTAATGTATATACTTACAGACTATGCAGTATCGTTATACAAAGACTAAAACACTGTAAGGAACATTCAGAATCCCTGGAAAGGGGAATGGCCTATAGTAAGGCATAACGTAGCTTGAAATTAATTCTGTGGAGTAAGTTGTGTTTTGAGCTGATGTCCAGCTGATGTCCATCTCTTTAAAGATGTTCTCTAGCGTTCCCTTCCCACCTCAGTGTCCTGCTGATGGTCGGCTGGAGAGGGATGACTGCTGCCACGCACTCTGCATCTAGGAGGAATGTTCTGACTCCTCAGCCTTTCCTGTAGAACAGCTGGTGTAATCCTCTCGTGCAGTGTCCATTTTGTGTTTGGCGGCTCTGTTGTCGTACAAACTCCTACAGCTTCAAATGGGCACCACTGCGAAGGGGCACTGAGTAAATTCTTCACGTACCGCAGGTTCTGCCCATGGGCTGTACGTTGGGCACTGCTGGCTGACGTACAACTGGGAGTTTGTGTCACTGACCTACAGCGCAGGTAAAGGGTATCACAGCTTGGCCCTTGGCTGCTGTACATGAATGTGTATCACAGCCTGATGTGTATTTCTCTTGATCCAGGTTTTGAGCTTCTAGTCTTCAAAAAAAACTATTTGTCTTTTGTACTTGGAAGACATATGCAGATGTTCATGTTTTGCAGTAATTGTGCATGGAAAATTAATTTGCAAATCATCGTTAGCATGGATTTGGTTATGGCAGTGCCCGTGGGCTCCTCAGCGATGCGATGCAGCTTGAAGGGGCTGTTCAGAACTGCAGGTGCTAACTCAGGACAGGTTCTGTTCTTCCCTTTCCACTAGTCCTTTCTCTGATCCTCTTTTCTTGCCACTTTTCACCACTTTGCTGAAGGCTTTTTTTGGATAACTTTCCTTACTTCTCTTGGGCCTTACGTATGCCTGATGTAAAGTGGCTTGTACTAAAAGGAATGATGTGAAAGGCTAGTTTTGGTTAGGAGATTAGATACTCCTAGAAGAGTATTAGAGATGTATTTAAGATTTTTGCATTTCGGGCTGTCTAGTAACTTGAGACTAGCAAGCTGTAGTTTGACTTACAGATGATTTGAAAACCTGCATAAAGGTCTTAAGTTAGATCTAACCCCCTGCTCCATAAGCCAACACTTTCTATTGTGTCCTTTAATATAACCGTATCCTAAGTGCCATTTGGCAGATGCTTCGGCTTAAATTTGAGTAGCACATTTGAAATTATTTGCATGTAACTTCATGGCCTTAGCTGTCCTAGTGAACAAAAGCTAGACTGCATGTTGTATAAAGGGAGAAAGTTGCATAATCTAAGCTATAATCTAATACTCTGATATTTCACACAATGAGACATTACAGTAATAGGATCAATTGTGCAAGTCTCAAAGAAAATCCAAGGATTTATACTGTCTAGCTGAGATCTTGACTCTTGTGCTGTATTTATGAAGTTATGCAGATACCAAAACCTAAGCTGGCTTACATAGTAAATAAAGAGTGCTTGTTCTGACACTGTAGTAATTGCTGAGAGGCAAAAATACTTCTGGAAATGTTTAGAAATTGCTTTTCTACTTTAAAATTGCAAGTAGAATTTCAGCAAAGCCTTGTATACTGTTTTTTTTTTTTTAAAGTCCATTGATAAAATCAACTTTGATAACTTGTTTTGTTGTCATTGTAGTCTTTTTTTAATTGCTTTTATTTAAAATGTATAAGAATATTAATGGCTGTCTAAATCAGTTGGGACAGACCTACTGAAGGAGTTAATGGGGGGAGGACAGAGTATGGGAAGCTCCTTACTGACCCTGCTGTCACTTTTACAGTTGTCCAGCTTTCAATTGCATCTAAGCTGATACAACTGACTCTCCACTGGTGAATATATTTGCATTTTTTCCCCCACTTTAATCCAAACCAACATGCCACATGCAAAATAAAGGCAAGTTTCTACAAATGTTCTGAGTATCAAAGGATTTATTAAAGGAAAATAAATTAAGATCTTTAGTTCAAGGTATGTGACGTTTGTAATGGCGGTATACATAGCAATTGGTTCTTTTTAGATAAAAATCTGCATGTGGACCTAATTCCTGTAGCTCTCATCAAATAAATTAATTTGTCTTAATGCTGTACTTGTACTTTCTGTATCTAGAGCTAGACTCTTTAATAGTTTGTTCCAAGAAAATTTCAATACCTGCACTTCCAAAATAAGGCTTTCAAGAAAGCAATAAATGAAGCAAACAAGTAAAGAGTACTTTGAATATTCATGATAGTGTACTTTACCAGACTTTTGAATTATTTTCCATTGTGGTGATTATCTTAATGTTCCAGTTAAGCCCACAAAATATATTGCTATACATTATTCCAAGTTCAACATGAAAGCAAAATACAACTTAGCATTTTTCCCTTGTATTCAGTAGACTTGAGCTGTGCTTCAAATTTGGATGAACCTGCGCTCAGTCAGGTTTCACATAGCTAAGCAGATGCTTTATAGTGACTGGGATGGTGCTTCTCTGAAACTAGGCTTAGCTTAGATGATGCTTTGGTAAAAAGTCAAGAAGCCCAAAGTGTTAAGGCAGTTTTTCCCTCAAAAACCCCCAAATCACCTTCACTACTGGTAACAAGCTCTCTCTCTGGAGCTCCTTCTTGCTCTGTGGTGCCATGGTACATGCTCTTTGTGCATCTGCTGTAACCTAGGGAGC